ATTTATGATAAATTATTTGTATTGTAAAAAATATTTTTTATTTATTGATGATTTATCTTAAAATATTAATTTAATTAATATATAATTATGATAAATAAAAATCAAATTAGATGAGAGGTTAAAAAATCTTTACAAATATTTTTATGAAAGAAAAATTCTTAAAATCAGTGTAAGATAGAGATTGGTGTTTAATATAATAATTTATTTATATATTCCAACATAATATATATTTAAATATATAATTTATTATAAATTTTAATTAAATATAATAAATAAGTTTGTGCATTTCAAATCCAAAAATATCCATCTATTAAAATGTCATGCGATGTCTCTTTTAGGCCTGCAGAGTAATTGAGCTGAGAAGAAAATCTTCTATACATTTTAATACAAATATAATTGATAGAAAAGAATTCAAAATGGGAAAGCTCCAGGAAAATATCAAAAAAGTTCCTTGGTTTGTAACATAATCATGATTGTACAGAATGGAAATTTAAAAAGTAAGAAAGAAAAAGGGGTAATGCTGGAACAGTTTGGGAATGCAATAATTTTAAGGTAGGAACAAGGAAATGAGGATCATGTGCATCTGAATTCCTAAAAGAGAAAAACAATGCTGTAAGGAAAACAAAGAAGCAGAGCGTGTGTTACAAACAGGCATCGAATATTCAAGCATTTTCATTTTGTCATATTTATCTTGTCACTCATTATCAATCAATAATAATTGAATTAAAAGGTGGGTTCATGATCACATGGAATGTCTCGATCGTGGGCTAACGAATCAGTTTAAGTCAAGGCTTGACTACAAAGCTAGGTAACAATTGTTTTTTTTTTTTTTTTTAATATTTTTTTAAGTGAAAAGTTTAATAAAGTAAGGCACGAATATATATATATATATATATATAGATAGATATAACATATAGAAGTTTGATTCTAACTAATAGAGACACTTAATCAGTTATGTTATTATCACATAACATGTAACAATTAGGTTTGGATAAATTTATTAAGAAAAAAAAGTAATTTTTAGAACCTAAAAAATGTTTTCTTATGAGATAATAATGTTTTTGTTTTAGAAAATAAAATTTTAACAAATATTTTAATATGTGAAATTTACACAGGTATTTATTATAATAATATTATTAAACTTTATAATAAGTTATATATATATAAATAAATATATATTTTAAATATATAAATTATATTTAAAATTAATATATATATATATATATATAAATAGTTTTAA